GGGGGCGGGGGGCAGCGTGTTGGCCCGGGCCCGGGTCCGCAGGCGCTGCCCGCGCCGGCGTTTCACTTATTTACGCTGTTTTACGGGATTTGATGAAGCAGTTTTCTGCATTTGCCGGACAAACCCAGACGTCTGCGCTGCTGCCGCTTTAAACTTTGCGATAAGTTTTGTCCAGAAAGCGCACAAAGCAAAGCGCTGCTGGGTTAATTAAGAAATGACCGAGGGAAACCAGTCGACTGCTAGTGGTGTATTCAGTTCAAGTGTGGTGGTGGTCATCATCTTTTACGTGAATACTGCACTTAAGAACCTCTAAATAAAAAGGTTTGGGAAACACCTTCTCTCTCTTAAACTAATTGACTCAGTTCTGAACTGAATGTTGTCTGACTTGCACCGAGAGGAAAAAAAGATGTCATAAACACAGCGTGATAGGTCCTAAGAATTTGGTTTTACAGTATTTAACTTGAAGAGGAACTGTTCAAGCTAATCAGAGCTGCAGCCCGATGACTGCAGCCAGAAGCTGCGAGCAGCCAACCTCATCCGAGGCCGAGCATGGCAGAGAGGAGCTGAGCCTGCGAGACGGAGGTGGCCCCTCCGAGCAGCGGGCATGCGAGGCAGGTTCTGGAACCCGCAGCGGTGACATGGAGCGGTTGCGTTGTGGATGGGGCTCGGGCTGCTCAAAGGGAGCTGAAGCAAATTGGGAGCCCATGAAGCCAGGCAGCGCGCGTCTGGGTGTTTAGTGAATCCTTTTAAAGCACAAACTTGACTTTGGTTGCTTTGTTTCATCTGCTCTTTTCTCTTCTGCTGATAGTGTTGCGAGATAGTTTCTGTGATCTTCGTTTAGGAAGCATCAATAATGTTTAATTTTGTGTTCCTGAAGACAGTCCAGACTTTCTGAAAGTGCCTTTTCACTGCCAGGACAGGGAAGTTGAGCTCTTAACCAGGCGTTCTGAAACGCTGTGGTCGGATGCTTAGAAGCAGACAGCAGCTTTTATCTCAGGATTTTTGGGGTTGCCTGAAAAATAAGGTACAGAACAGGATTGTCTTAGAAGTCCTGAAGCTTTCGGGAGGATTAGCTGACTTGCTTTAGCTGTCAGTATTATATTTTAGACTTAACTGAAGTGTGCCCGTGCTAATTTGTGAATTGATTCCTTCACAGAATGCACGCTGGAATTCTGTTCTCCTTTAATATCTTTTAGCTCAAAAAACTTGCTGCAGTGAAGGAATGGCGTCAGGCATGTGCTATTTTTCATGCATTGATGTTTGGTGTAGGTCTTGTTTTTCACTTGCAGCCAGAACGAGCATGCTGTTAACAATCGATAATTAAGGTATATTGGGAATATTATTAAACACATTGTGAAAAATGTAATTGATAACGGCTTGCTGTGCCTGCTCTGGGTTTTGGTCAGTTGGGTATGTCTTCCTAATTCAATATATTAGTAATTTACGGGGAAAATTGAAATCTGTGCATTTCAGGTGGGTGAAACGCTGCCCTAATTGTTGCCAGCGATGTTTCCTAGCTAGAAAACCGGGACTGCGTGAAGCACTGAGTATTGCTGGCCCTCTTTTTTTAGCAGGTGAGGCTTCCTGCTTCCCTCTAGGCAGCAAACCCCCCTTCACACAGAAGTGATGGACACCATTGACGCAGGTGAGAGTGGTACCATCTTCATATGGCACAACTGTGTGTTTCATTTCCCGAGGGATGAAGGAGGCACCCCTAGTTCTGGGGTGCTCGTACTGGCTAATAAAAAAAAAACCAACAACATGCTGTGTTCAGTGGAAGTAACTCTCTTGTAACCATTAAAGTTAATGTGTTTTAAGAATTACCTGGGACGTTCAGAGTACTGAACTGTTGTTACGTGATATCCTGCAGTCCGTTCCAAAGGAGTTCTGCATGTTGCTTCTGATTTGACACCAGCTTTCTCTTTTTTTGGTTTGCTTCACACCCTGGATAAGCTTTGAGAAGGTGACAGGTGACTACATGGGCATGGGTCCGAGCCCACTGCAGAGGCATATTTCCCTACCTGTCATGTCCCCCAGCCAGCGCAAGGCTTCTCTTTGCCCACCTCCCATAGGTTTGCTGACCTTCGGGGTTTTTTTCTCTCTCCTTACATTTCCACTTGTGGGAAATGTTTAGAGTCGCAGCTCCCAAGTTTTTTTAAATTCTCATCTCAATTTTTCACTTAGATTCCCTCTTAGAGAGTCAGTCTGCTCTGGGAAATCTGTCACAAGCTCAGTGTTAAGAGTTTGGTTGCAGGATAATTTGAATTACTATTATAATAGAATGCTTTAAAAGAAACTGAGCGCTTTAATTTTTGTTGGCTTAATTGAATCTGTTAAATGTAATTTAGACTGTTACAATAAGAAAAATATTCTTTGCCATCCTTTCAAAATGGGATGGATGCTTCGATAGTAAATTTTGGGGAATTGCTTGAGGACAATCTTTGATCCACATTTGCCGAAAGTAATGTAAACTAGAGGGAAGCTCTGCTGAGGAGGACAGCTTTGTCAGCTCATTGACACCAGCGAGCGTTCCTAACCTTTGTAACTCTGTAAAGCTTTAACCTCATCATGAAAGTTCCCGATAGCAGCTGGGAGGATTGTTCTGCAGCCAATCAAATGGGCTCAGTATTTGTTAGCCTCAGTTAAATAAGCAAGACTTGATATTTTGGCCTTCTCTTCAGAAGAGCTGCTTGCCAGAATGGAGTGGCGCTGCTCCTGGAGCATAGCACGCTGTATTTTCAAAAAGCTTATGTAAATTAGGGACTTTTTATCCTCTCAGAGTCCGTGGTGTCTTGCTATTAAGATGCATGACATCAAGGCTGGGTCTTGCAGAATTGCATTACACGGCATTAAGTGTTTCTAGAACAAAGAGGAAGTAGCCCATGCTCTGTTTCAGGTGTATGTTTCAGCCGTTGTATTAATAGGTGCATTCATCACTTTATCAGCCTGAATCTATTTAGCTTCTTAGCGCTTTTCACTTGGACCTGTGATTTCTGAACTTCCGTGTTACCACGTGTGTCTTTTGGTATTTGCTAGAGTGAGTAACGTTATCTGCCATACTCAGTGTTGCTTTTTACTTCTGATCAGCTCCAGAAGTGTAGTGATCTCCCTAAAGTGTTTCGGTTTCACTTTATCATACTTATTCCTTAAAATTACTGTCAGCTTGAGCTAAATGCTGGCCTCAAAGACGTAAGGTAGTGAGACAGTGTTTATTTTTATAAAATGATGAATCATCTCCTGGACGTGTCTTGGTTTTTTTGCTTTGATGAAAATTAAATTCAAGGAAATGGGATCTGCTGGTTTTCAGTTCTTGAGCAGGTGCCCATGCTGACAGGTATGCTGCGTCACAGGAGTGACCAGCAGTTGAGCAGAGCTAAGTTTTGAACTTGCTGAACTACACTGACGGCGAGAGTACGTGGGTGCAACACGTTACTGGGTTTTTCTTCTAAGGTTGTTTTGTTGGAGAACTACTACTCTGAAAACTAAGAAGGGAAATGTACATGTGTCCTTTCACACTGAACTTTTTCTAGTTCTTCTTTCTGTTCCCAGCTATGTTCTGCTAAGATGAACGAAAGAGGGAAAACTTCATTGCTGTGTGGATTAAATTAGCTGTGCGTGGGGGATTTTGAATCTCAAAGAGGGCCTTGCAAAAATTGTCATCTTTGTTTTGCCTTCTCTTGTGGTTGTCTTGAACCTCTCCAGTGTTTGGAGGCTTTTTGTTACTGAATTTGGGCTTGTCCTTGCAGCAAATAGCTTTGGCACTAGGTGTGACCTTGGCAAAGGAATTATCTCTAAAGCTATTGCAACTGTTTCCTTATCCTTTTGCTTTATGTTTGAGGCTTGGTAGTAAGCTGCTCCTTAATGTCAGAATCCAGGAGGCTGGCCTCTGAATATCAAATTTCCTTATTTGTGAATTTGTGAGATACGAGCTAGGGCTAGTGGCTTTGGCCTTCTAAATTCCAGCAAATGGCGGGAGTGGAGTGGGCTGTCACTCAATGTCTAAAGGAACCTGTTTGGAGGAAGCTGTATTAGTTGCTCGTAGGGTGTTAGGAATTCTTGGGAGGAGAATTTTTGCAAAAGCATAGTTTTCTTGTATATGTGGAAGGAGTTAGCTTTATCGTGGTAGAGCGAGAGCCATTACAATGCTTATCATCTGTGCTGTTGCTGGATTATTGGACCCCTTGCCCAAATGAGCAGCTCTCAGAAAGGGACCTTGGAGGGCACCATCTTGTGCTGTAGGAATAAGTGTTTATCTCTGTCAGGTTCCAGGTTGGAATCCAGCAGTTTTTCTTGTCTGTCTCACTGTTACCCTCTTCCTCTAGTTATGGTCCTTGTTGCCCAGTCTCAAAGTGAGACAATCCTGTTCCCCCCTCCCAGCAGGCTGTGATGGTATGTATGTTTGTGTTGGCACTTCAAAAACTTTAATCTCTTTGGTTACAAATTTAAGGTAATTATTAGTGTACACTGATGTGTATAAGATGTAGGTAAACTCGTGGGGAAAGCAGGTAGTACTCAGGTAAGTTCACGAGGAATCCTGGCATAGCATAGGTGATGCTTGGTTAGTGTAGATATCACTAATTCAGTAAGTCATTAGTTTCTTCTCCTTGACATATGTTTTTTTACCTTCCTTTCTAGGAAGGGGTCTGGAGGAGGGAAAATTTCCCTTTCTGGTGAAAGGGGACTGGAGCATTATGACAGTCAAGTCTTTAAAAGCTTATGAGTTACCAGAGTCCTTGACGACTAACTGCTTCCTCTGCTGATATTGTCGGATGTCAATAAAGAGAGGTTGAAGGCAACACTTCTAATGGAGGTAGAAATGAAATACTTGGAAAATACCAAGGATTTTCCTGTTTTGATTAATGAAAAATCACATAGGTGCTTAATAGCTGGTTAGACACTTGAGATGTGGAACTCTATAGAAAATCACTAAATTCACCTATATTGTCTGGCTTGACTTCTAAAGCATCTTTGGATTATTTTTCCTAATAAAAGTGTTCTGATCTCTTCAGCAGGTAACATCGAAAGGTGCTGGCTTAAACCCTAATGCAAAAGTGTGGCAAGAAGTACCCCAAGGGAGCAGTGAGGCTGTGCCACCAGCAAATGGCGCAGAGCACTCGTGGCAAGAAACAGCGGCTGCACAAGGGACTCATACCGAGGGTGAGACATTGCAGGCCTGTATTTAAACACTAGCCGTGATACATCCCTTGCTAGGTAGCGCTGAGGGTTCTCTGTACAGAGTTCAGCAGTGAGAAGCAACCTCTTGCTCTTGTCCTTTGAGGTTGTTAGTGCCGATGTAGCAACAAGTACGAAATGAACGTGAGAAAGCAGTAGACGGTTTATAGAGATTATAGATCTGACCAGTGAGCTTTGGTTTAGGGATTCAAGAAGGTGTCCAGAGCTGTGCTAGGACAGAATACTTCAGCAGGTAACAGGATCCAAGGTGCCCAGTGATGACTGAGTAACGCGCTAAGAGGGAAACAAGATGCTAAATGTGTAGAAATGGATTCATGACTTGTCTTGTTTGCCATTGCTGCACTTTAGTATACACTTGACCCTGTGAACAGGAATACAAGGTCTGAGGGCCACCTACAATCCTGGTAGATCACTGAGGTGCTTCCGAGAACTGTTAGACAGTAATGTTTGTACTGGAGTAGGAACTGCAAAGCATTTATGGTTAGCTCCTTTCAGTTTAATCTGTATTCTTTTCAGTCCCCATTTTCCATCCTTACCACATGGTCAGTCCTGTTGTCTGGAATTAAATATTCAAAGGGTTTAACTCTTCTGATTTGCCTTAGTCTTGATATGAAGCCAATTGTATAGCTGAGGTTACTTAAAGTACAGCAGAGGCCCGTTAATTAGGAAGCAGAAGATTGTCTGGAAAAAAGTGTTAGGAAAAGTTAGGGATAAAGAAGGGAGGATTCGGTTTGTGCGGCCCTGTCAAAAGTTTCTGGTAAGTCAGCAGAAGTGAAGAGAGAGTACTGAGTTTGTGCATTGGCTGACAAACTCATTTGTCTCTTCGTAACAAAATGAAGCAATCGTGGCAGCGTAACACTGCTGGAAAATTAAAGGCATTTTTTCCAAATGCATTGTTAGTGCTTTTTAAGCAATCTCTAATGTAAGTAGTTGAATAGTATCACTTCTCAAAGTATGTTTTTAGGGGATTCATTAGTATGGAAAAAATCTAGCAGAGGAGTTGATTTTTTTGAGACAATCTCCTTTGCCTGACTGCTGGATTAAACTGAAATTGCGTTTGTTTGTATCTCAGGCTGCTGTGGTGAAGACTAAGCTGAGGTGTCCTGAACAAGAGATTGGCCAATTTCAATGTCATTCCACTGTGTTTTATAACAATCGCTAGATGCTCCGGAGTCCATTATATAAATAAGAATCATGTAATGTGTTGAAGTGATGTAATCTATTTTAGTGCTTTGGTTTTAGGAACCTCGTTTAAGTATTTTAAATTTCAGGGGGAAAGCCTGGTTTTTAGATCCTCTGCCACTTTTGGGGATCTTACAGTTTCACAATCCTATTATTTAATTATCCCTGAGACCCTAGTTCAAGCCAGAAGACCATTCCGAAATTGGAGGGGTAGAAAGTGCTATCCAATACAAAGTAGGTGCTGAAAGTCTAAGAAACATAGACTTAAGTCTAGACACTTCCAGTTACAGCATTCTTGAGTATTTGTTTTAATGTTGGTAGCCAAAACTTTTCAAATGGAAAATATTCTGAAGCTTACAGTAGGTTTTCTGTTAACGATGTGTTCTTTTGCCAGGTAACATAGAGATTTCAGAGGATAGCTGCAAGCAATATGAAGTGATGTATTCCCCGTCTTGTGAAGCCACAAGAAATGGCACAGGAGTTGATGAAGCATCTGCAAATGGAATTGTCCTAGCAACTGAAGATCTTGGATACCAAATCTATGAAGTGTCTGGTGAGTATTCAAGTTAGAATACCACTGTCAGTATCTGTAATCCTCTGAAGTCTGCTGCAGTTATGATGTGACTGAGTAGGAACTTTGAAATGTTCCATGTGTATTCAAGAAGATCCAAGCCAGCCATAGGACTTGGCCAAGTAGGTAAAAACTGTGGGATCCAAGCCATTTTGAGAATGTGTACTATGGTGGTCATGTGACCTTCTCAGGTGACCTTCTCCTCTTGGTCTTAGCCAGAGGGATTCATTCTTTTATTGTACAAGGAAATGTGTTCTTGCATTGTATTCTTACCGTGAAACTGAGATCTGATGCTGAATGTGGTAACTTTTAGGTGAAGGCAGCTCCACTGTGTCCACAGAAGACATTAGAGAATGTTTGAAAAAACAACTTGAATTCTGCTTCTCACGGTACAGTACAGTTAACTTTCTATAAACCCTTTATTAAAATAATTGACAAATTTTTCCTTTTTTGGCTTGATATGCACTATCATCTTCATAAAAATGTTAGCTGTGAGAGAGAGAGTTGGTTGCCATATGAAACAAGATTTGCTAGAATGCGGTAGAAACCTGGTGGTACCTTTCAGCTGTTTCAGTCCTGCCTGTGCATCCTTGTCCTTTAATGAGAATTCAGTATGACTTCTGTGCTTCACAGTCGTAAGATGTTGGATAATTTAGCTGTGTATTGCCAGAAGAGGTCTCTTTGGCAAGATCCTTTTTGCAGACTAACATGCAGAGCGCTGTAACTTCCATTAAGTTTTTTTAATTATCTTCTGCTTTGTGTTGATCTGCTAGGATTTTTTCCAGGAGAGAAAATCTGAGTATGTTTTGGCTAGTTAGCTGTGAATGGTATTGGTGAATATTTAAGCCCACAGTTAACCTGTTGTTTTGAGGCTTCTGTAAGTAAAATTCAGGATTTTTATAAAATAGTGAACTTATGTCTTTTTAGTGAGAATCTTTCAAAGGATCTCTACTTGATGTCTCAAATGGACAGTGATCAGTTTGTTCCAATATGGACAATTGCCAACATGGAAGGTATTAAGAAGCTGACAACTGACATGGACCTTATTCTTGAAGTTTTGAGATGTAAGTCTGGGTGTTTGATGTCTGTATTAGCAGAACAGAGAATCCTTCCTTGCTTTAGAGAAATGTATTAGTCTCTTAGCTGGTTACGGCATATTGTTCTGGTAAATGGTGTTGGGAACCTCGTTCTGCAGAGATGTTTGAATAAGTGGCTGTTCCACACTCCTGAATTCTAGTTATGCTTTATAATAATCTGCCTAAATCTGCCCTAGTGAGAGGCAGCTCTAAGGTACTGCTAGCAATGAAAGTCTTATTCTGGGAGTAAACCTAGTCTTCTGATTCAGTGCAGAAGTTTATTACAAATGATAAAACAAGAAAAATCTTTTCAGAAAAAGTTAGCTAGAATTTTTGTAACATACTGTCCTGTGCTGATTCTGCACATGGCTTCTTGTGGAAACAGGTGTAAGTGAATTCTTAAAGCCTTTATTCTGACTTGATTTCCTTCCTCTTATTTGAACTTTTCCCATTAGGGCTCTGTCTAGGAATGTTTTTATATCCTCTTACTTGAATTTGAGCTGGGAGTGAATTGAATTTGGGACCGAGCTTTTTAGATATCTGAGCTGTAGATGGAGGCAACGTCAGGCAAATGGCTAAAATGTACTGAACCTCTAACAGGCTATAGCTGATAAAACAGTCGTTTACCCTGAATTCAAGAAATCTGGTTTCTTAAGCAGTCCACTGCAGTTCTTTGTAACAAGTTGGATAATGGAGTCTAGTGCCGCGGAGATGTTTTGCAGTGCACAATGTCCAATATTAAGCCAACTTTTGTATTATAATTTTAGCTTCTCCTATGGTACAAGTGGATGAGAGAGGGGAGAAAGTAAGACCAAACCACAAACGATGTATTATCATTCTCCGTGAGATCCCTGAAACAACACCTATAGAGGTAAATAAATAGAAAAGAAAGAAATAAAAGCCTGTTGATGTTTTTGGAAGGTATCTGCAACAGTGCTTCAAACAGCAGCAGGAAGCGTTGCTTAAAAGGTCAGCTGGTATTTAATTTGATTAAACACAGATATTTTTCTTGTAAACCACATAAGTATTTTTTTCTGCTTGGATGTATTGTCAAAAAAGCCAAAGCAAATACTTGTTGTCATTTGTTGTCCCTTCCCATTATTTACTAACGTATTAAAATGCTCTTAAGTAAACTTTTTTCCACCAAAAATTGAGCTAGCTAGGCTTTTCTGGAAGGAAGTTTGAACTGGTTTCTTTTCAGATCCAAAAATAAAATTAGTCCAGGGCATAGCTTGGAATTCAGGCTGAATTTTTGTCACAGCAGTAACTTTACTTGAAGTCAGACGGTTGTTTTGGCAGCAAGAAATGTTACTAAACATTTCTCATTCATTGTGACCCAGTGTGAGCTGAGCTTATTATGTTCAGAGAAGGGAGGATAATAAAATTCCAACTGATATTTGGCTAACTGAATGATTTAGTTCTTTGTTTTTTAAAGTTGTAACACAGGGTGTTTGTCTACTAGCATTTTTAATTAGTTCTTTTAATGCAAACACTGAACAGCTGCTTTGCCCTCTCTTTAAAATCTGATTAATGCAAAGCTATCAGGTTGCCATGATGCTAGAAGTATTTGTTAGAATCATTCTTGTCTAGATGACTCTCCTGATCTAAAGCCACATTTTTGCTACCTCTTTAATAAAGAAATATCACCAGTTCTACACTGATCTTGATGTTCTTACCAGATGGGCCTGCTACTTTTTATTTGGGGAGCTCAGTAGGCTGGACTAGTCTTCTTGGGTTCAGAAACAGGTAGAGGATAATTTGGTGTCTGGCAGACCTGTCAAGGGAATAAAAGAACATCCCTGGTCAAGGGAAAATTGCAACCAAGGAGCTGGAGTGTAAACTTTCAATTTACAGCTTAGAGCTAGGTCCCCTTAACTGCCTGGCTTCTTCTCTCCCCTAGGAGGTTAAGGCTCTGTTTAAAAATGAAAACTGCCCCAAAGTGATAAGCTGTGAGTTTGCTCACAACAACAACTGGTACGTTACATTCCAGTCAGATACAGATGCGCAACAGGTAAGGCTGCCTTCAACTGTTAATGACATCTCAATTTTGTTATTAATACTTCCCCTGCTCAAGAGAATTGCATGCATGCTTCTGTAGCTAAAAGAAATGTTTATTTACTGATCTCCCTTTTGTTATTTTAAGAGGTTATTAGCAAATTCTAGTTAACGGAGAAAAAAGTTGAGGGATTGTAGGGTTTTAACTCCCTTGTCTGCCTCTTGCCTCAGTACTCTCCAGCCATAACTGACATCTACTATCCTGAATTTGAAGTGTTAATGAATTTAGCTGGGCTAACAGGGAAGCGCATTGCTACGCATCCATGTTAAATCATGTAATGTCCTTTGAGGAGTACAATTTTATCAAGATACTCTAACGTTAAACTTTTTTGTATCTGCAGGCGTTCAAATACTTAAGGGAAGAAGTGAAAACCTTTCAGGGCAAGCCAGTAATGGTAAGGTTGCTTTACATGAGGTTTCTGTTTGAATTGAATTATGTATTGTTTTTATTTGAATGATAGTGTGTGTTTATGGGAGGAGGGGGGAACTAAGGAATTAGCAGTGGGATAGTTCATAACACTTGCTCTGTAGGCTGTTAACTTGAATGAGGTCATGGGTAGCTTTGAAAAATTACAGTTCAGTGGCTGCTGGTTATTCACACTGCTGCTTCCCATGAGGTGTGAAATACATTCCTGTTTCGTCTTCCCTTCTCCAGTTTCCCCAGAATCTGGGTCTGCAGAACGCGGAGAGGGACTCTTGCCATCACGAGTCTGTAGCTTGAGGTAGCTGCTCTACAAATAAGGCTGAAGCAAGCTGTTTGTTCTGTGAGAGGAACTGTCAAAATTGGAGTCTGGACAGTTACTGCTGTAGAAAGTGGTGTTTATCTTAAACTTGACAGATTCTCTAGCTAAAGCAATGTGTGCGTTCTTCCCTTTAGCACACTGTAAGAATGTAATCTGTATTGATTCTTATCAGAGTTTTTATTTGTAAGCAGTAATCAACCTACTTCCCCTTCACATCCCTTCTGTTACCTCTTCAGTAGTCAAGAAGGATTTCATTCTGCTTCTCCTCTTCTCCCAACTAATGTGTGTTATGTGATTTGATATCTTGCAGGCCAGGATAAAAGCCATCAACACATTTTTTGCTAAGAATGGTTACCGGGTAGTGGATTCCAGTGTCTATACTCAGCCAGTTCAAACACAAGCACAGTTTGCCTCACCACTGTTTATGCAGCCTGTATATAGTCCTCAGCAGTACTCTATTTACAGCATTGTGCCTCAGACATGGTCTCCAAATCCTGCACCTTACTTTGAAACACCACTGGTAAGTAACAGCTGATGAAAATGAGAGGAGCTAGCCCGAAACAACAGGAATAATTTGGTTTACAAATCACTACGGTTAGTGGGCTTTTCAGCTGTAGAATGCACAGGTTTTCTAGCCAGATCCCTCCATTTTATGATACTTCATGTTATGTCATGCACCTGATAAAGCAACACTGTCAGAGAAGCTGCATGTCTTGCCATGGGCTGCCATTTATTTCAAGAAGTTTTGGTGTGAGATTCCATTATCCAGTAGCTAGTGTTACTGGAAGAGCTTTGTAGCTCTTGCAGGAACAGGAGGACTCTGATGCTGAAGTAGACGTGCAGACTGTTAACCTGGTGGGGTTTTTGCTTTAGTAGTAAGTTTACAACGTACTAGATACGGTAGCCCAGTGTAAAAGTACAAACAAACTAGGTGAATAACTGCTGAAGCTGATCTCATAAAACTGCAAACGTTTTTCTTTTTAGTTCAGCCATTGAGACTGTTCTGTCTGTTGCAGGCCCCCTTTCCTAACGGTGGATTTGTGAATGGCTTTAATACACCAGGATCATATAAAACAAATGCTGCTTCTTTGAGTATAGGTCGCCCATTCCATAGAAATCGGTAAGATAGCTCTGTCAGTTGTTTGCTCTCTGAGAACTTACAGTTTTGAGATCCTGAAACATTCCTCGCACTTGTAAAATGCAGTGCCTTCTGATGGGACTAGGTTACTTATTTTGTTTATCGAGTATGTGTGACGTTTTTCAACTTGATTTATAAAATAAAATTAAAATCGAGGTGGCAGCTTAAGATCCTAAAATAGTGGACAGATGTGCTGGAGAGAGCAAAGGTAACTCCTTTAAAAGCCTCAGAGGAATTTCTGCAGACAAATAAATAACTTCCTCGTAAGGTAATACTTCTAATTATGTTTGTTACACGCAGATTATAAACTCCTGCAGCACAAACGTAAGCTTTTCCTGTTGTGTGATTAGTCTTGCAAAGCGCCATTCAGTTTATGCAGCTGAGAGTTGCATGCCCTGACTGCTGTATGCTAAAACTGCTTGATGCTGAGTCTGTTACTATAATTTATTTGCTTTATCCCCATCTTTCCTGATAACTGTGAGGGCTCAGCTCAGATATAAACACTGGGGAGGAGGAAACAGCTTTGTATTTGCTGGAACAGTACTCTGTAAATACAATGGTGTAGTAATCTGTTTGTGTGGGTGGAAATTGTTTTATTTGCAAGCTCTTTCACTGTATTCAGCATGCGGGTGGTAGCATGGGAATTGCTTTTTATATTGTTTGAGAAATCGGTTGACAACTGCCAGTACCATAAGTGGTTTTGTGATGCAGTTAAGGTTTGTGGCTGCTGGCAGAAGGTGAACTTCACAATTTGGTCTGCGGTGACTCAGCAGAGTCTTAATACAGGCTGTGAAACTGGTAGAATGACTCTGCTTGGAAGACAGGGCAGCTGATTCAGTTACAGCTGCTCAGCTCCCAACTAAGATCTATTTATAAAGGTTTGTTTGGGGTTTTTTGCCTTAAATTGCGCCCAAACTCAAAGCCAGTAAAGCTCTTACATACATGGATCCTTTCAGAAGTATGGATGCTGAAACTGTACAAGAATTGTATGTACCCAGATACTAACATCTTGAAATGCCCACATGTTCACTGCTGCCTTGTAGATCACATCTGTATAATCCTTAAGTTAAAACTCTTCTGGTTACGTTAAGACTTTCATTTGTAAAACTTCAGTCATTGTGAAGTTACAGCTTTAGGGTCAAGTGTGTACAGGTTCTGCTGGTCTGTCTTGGTTGTCTTATCTTTCCTGCCAATCTTGCTCAGCCTTTGTGCTAGTACAAAGCTCTGTTTTTGTGGTAATAAATCTTCATATTCTGGCAGCAGAGATTAGTTATGCTTCAGCAGGATTCCTTTGCAAACAGGAGACTGCTAAGGTAACAGCGAGGCACAGCCTTGAAGGTTTGGCCCAGTGATGATCAAGTATCGCGCTAAGAGAGAACAGGTCCAACAGTCAATTGTCTGGGCAGCCTGCACTTCATGCTTTTCCTCCTTTTTGCTCTCTCACATCATCTCTCCTTCTCTCTGCTTTTTTTTTTTTCTTCCTTATCTTTCCTTGTCTTTTCTGCTTTGCTCTTCTGCCCAGACAAGATTGTGGCCTTCTCAATGACGGGTAAGATTATGAGATCTGAGGGCTGAATAATGACTCGAGAATCTTCCATTTTAAGAATGAATTGAACAAAATGGAAGAATTTACTTAGCTTCCCTCCTCTTCTCTATGGTCTTTGCTGATGGAAAACTTAACCTTACTGGGGCCTTAAGACTGGTTCTTAATGCTTCTTGAAGTTGTGAAGTATGAATTAATCTTTGTTCAGCATATCTTCTCTTGAACTGCAGAAGAGCTCATTTGGAGATGTTCATCCAGCTGCTGCTTTTGGGTTTCTGTCCTGGCTCATTAAACTTGCTATGTTTTGTAATACAGGCAGTTAATAGTTAAGTATTGGATTTTTCTCTGTAGCTAAACATTTGTTTAAGCCCGTGATATTTATTTTGCCCTGATTTGTTGTAACATCCTTGTGGGAAAGGAAGATTGAGTCTTTGTAACAGAGAATTGTCAGTGCTAATATTGGTTAAATTGATATTTTTCTATCCAGCCACCTAAAAGGTAACTTAAAATGTCTTTGGTAAAGCAGATTAATTTGAGCACTCAAAATTAGGCTGTTAAAAGGTGATTTTTGTTCTGCGTTCTGGTTACGTATGAAATGCTGCAAAACTCCCAGCTGTTAATTGCAAGGCTATGGAGAAGTCGGTCAGATAGTGGTGGAGTTGATTTTTGAAACATCACAGGACAACGGCCAAGCAGAGGGAGGAATCTGCTGCAGCCACATCACTTACTGCTGTTCTGATTTAGTGCTAACAAATGATAATTTGTCATTTGTTAAATTCTCCTATTTTGCTTTCTTTTCCTCCCAACGTAAGTTCCCTGGCCAAGTGGGAGGGAACAAGTTTATTGCTGGAAGCTGGAAGGAAACTACCTCTTTGTTGGGCAGTCTAGGGTCTGTGGCATCCACAACATGCCTTTCCATATTTGCTTAGCTTAGAGGAACCAAAAGCTGCATGATTTATGGTCTGTTGAAAGAAAGGACCCTTTTTCAGGCTGCAGGCTGCTCCTTGATTACTTTGTAAGAGATCACGTAGTTAAGTTAACTTCTCCTCCCAGACAGGAATCATACTTTGGCTGGCAGTGGGACAATTTCTGATTGCATGGAATGTTATAATGAGATTGTGTAAAAGCAATAAGCATGCAAAATCCTCCTTCTGTCCTTAAATTATGAGATGTGCACGGTTGACCAGAGGAGAAAGATAGAGTTTAAGGTCCTTGCCTTGCTTGCTGAAACTGGTTGGCGCCGTGTGGAAAAGACAGTGAGGTGCAGAAGTGAAAAATAGTCTAAGGCACCTGAATGCTGCTTCAGAAAACTGTTCCATGTTATGGTAGGTCAGAGTTTTTCTGGGTAATTCTGCATTTAAGACCCTGAGCCTTAACTTGCAGAAACACTGAGCCTGCACAGCTGCATCTGTGTTCAAAGGAAGTACAGCTTTAAGGCTGAATAATCAATAACTGATTAAAATGTCTGTGGTATTGTAAACTGCAGAGTCAGTGCTGTGGGTGTTTGGTAACAGGAACAGAGAGACTAAGATCCTGACTTTTCAAGCTCCTAGGGAGGTGGGCTCTCAGTTACCCTAGCCTCTTCTCCCCTGTTCTCTTCAGCCTATTTAGTTGTCATCTACTCCTGGCTTCTTGTTTCAGTTCAGTTTTTTTGCTTGTGGCCAGATCAGTTTGTTCCTCAGGCTTGGCTTATTTTTCCAGATCACTTTCCAATGCCTCCCCCTGCCTGTGCTGCAGGCCCAGACAAATGAAGAATCCCTCTTTGGGTTCTTCTGGCTCTTCTACCACCCCTAGGTTTTGGGTATTTTTTTGTTGTTGTTGATTGAGGGTGTTTGGGGCAGGGTTTCCCCCTTTGGTATCTGTTGGGCAGTGATCCTGATGTTTTCTTCAAATGGCAACACTTGACAGGGGAGCAGGTTGCAAGAAAACTGTAACAAAAGGAATAGATGGAGGTAAGGAAGAAAGATTTCTTTGTTCTTGACAAATGCATGTAGGAAACAACTTCTCTGATGGAGTTCCAGTACTTCCTGACCTCCTCCTTTCTTGTTAGCTACGAATTAACTGTAGTTGGTGGTAGTTTTGCCTCTTGTTCTTTAAACTCTGGATTACACAGCTGCCACTCTGTGTCCTGCAGTGTGAAGCCTCACTTCCGATCCTCTAACAGCTCAGAACATGCTGTGGAGGGTCCAGCTGCTGTCAGTACCATGCCAATGGGGGATGGACCACTGAACAGAACCAACTCAAGGAATTTTGTTATGGAGCGGCATAACAGTACGTTAACTGGGCACCAAGACCAAGGTTATTCCCAGAAGGATTCTCCAACCGCCCAGATGGAGCAGAATGGCGATTATGGCATTGGCAGGGGCAGGTAAAGAACTGTGTGTACTACTTTTTGCTGTAATGCAACAGTGCAGTTGGAACATAGTGTTGGAGGCTCAAATGACTTGTGTGAGCCAAGGATCCTCAACCACTGGCACAACATATCTTTCTGTAAAGACTCACCAGGAGAAAACTGACATTTAAATAAACCAGGTGTGATAAATACTTAACTGGGAGCATGAATGCTTCCTGCTTGACTGTACAGCTATTAGTTATTCTGACAAACACCTTGCAGTAAGATAGCGAGGGGTCTTTATTTCAAAATAACTGCCCAGTTTGTCCCCAGAATTAAAAGAGTTGCTGAAGTAAAATTGGTATTTGTATTGCTGTAAATAATAAGCAAATCCCTGGATGTGGAATTTGATGCTCCTAAACATTGTAAGATCAACTGGTTTTATCTTTTATCTTAATTCAGGTTTTGGACACTTAAAAATAAGTGACCAAGACAGATATGTGAGAAATCAGATGAATAAGTTTATTACTATAAAATTATAGGATACTATTCTATAATATTATAGTCTAACTGTCACTGTGCTTATTCAGATACAATGCTCTAGGGTACCTCCTCCACAGGGAGAGAAAAGAGAAATTGTTTCCCGTATTGGCTATGTTCCAAGAGTGTAAGAGCTTTGACCCCTCCTGAAGATGGAGAACGTCCCAGAACTGTATCTTGAGAAACATCAGTAGGCTGCTGCAAATCCCCTGCCACAGGCTTCCCTTTGTGCAGATGAGTGTGCGCTTCAGCTAGATGAATGCACTTACTGACTTTTTCTTTTTTTTCTCTCCTTTAAAGGAGGAACATTTTCAGAGGTCGGAGGAGACGAGAAGATGACCGGGTTTCAGTAAGTTCCGCTTCCCTTATTGCAAGGAGTTGCACAAAGTGCAATGTGTTGGCTTTGCGTTTATTGAAGGAATGGCATAGTCCTTAAATTCTCAGATTACATTGTGGGTATTGAGTGTTTCTAGGAAATTCCCTGACACTTGCTCAATGCTTTTAATGCTAGGTGTTATGGTGCTATTAACGGGTATTTTCCTTCTCTAGAGACCTCAGCCTTCAGCAGAAACAAAGACTCAGACACCAAAGTTTGACTTGCTAGCATCAAATTTCCCACCTTTGCCTGGCAGTACAGCAAAAATTCCAGGGGAGCCTGTGCTGGAGAGCAGGATGTCCGATATCGTTAAAGGAGTCTGCAAAGAAAAGGTACCCCCTCTTGTCTCTGGCACGCGCACTCTGGTATGCATATGCTGTGTCTCCCTTCTTAAATAATCCATTTATGTTAGAGCTGCACATTAGAATGCTTTAAGCCCAAACATCATACTGTCTTTGTTAATATAATAGTCCATTTTCTGTCTGTTCTTGGGTTTCCTTGGCTTTTTGCAGGTATTTAGCTGAAGCTTCTGTAATTACACTATTGTAAGCTCAGTACTGTTTTGGAATAAAGCAGGCAAATGAGGAGTGTTGGCTGTTGAACAGTTTGTGTGTAGTGTAGGGAAGGGCTGTTTCCAGATGAGTCTGTTACTTGAGCTGGTGGGACTAAAAGCATTGATAATCTGGGTTATACAGCCTTTTTTATCTGCTATTTGTTTTGCCCATATAAAGGGTGATTGCTTTAGAGGCGATGCTCCAAAAGAAGTAGAATTCCTATAATCAGAGCTTGAGCAGCCTTTGGAAGTACCTCACTTCTCACATGTCTTGAACTGGCATGTTGAGAAGCAATTTAAGCACATCTGCGTTCTTTCCGTATTTTGCAACTTATGCTTTCTGTACAGGAAAGCAAAGATCTGCTGCCCAGCTGTCCAGCTCCTGCTCAGGAAGAACAGACGCACAGCACTGTCCAACAGCCTGTGACAAGTGTGAGTTCGCCAAGTCAGACTGAAGCTGTGGTGTTAAGGTATGCAGATTATTTGAGTTGAGAATATTAAAATTTGTGTGTTCTAGCAAAGACCCTAGCCAGTGTCCAGCAAGGTGGCAGTAATGTTTGTTGTCTTTTCTCTGTCCGTAGTAGGCCGCTTCTCGAGAGGCCACTAGATGGAAATAACAAATTGTGGTGGTAATGGCTGTACCAATCTGTTCTGCAAAAAAACGCAGTCGTGACTTCAGAGAAAGAAAATGCTTTCTCAAACGTTAATTTCTGTGTTAGTAGGTTTTAATGTTAAATTGTTCTTGATTTAACAGCACAGTTCAGCCAGACAGCAAACCGGAAGAAGTGTCTGCTCAGAAAGATGTTACGAGCCATGCTTCCCCACCGGTGTCTGTCTCTCCTGTCAGTGCTGCAAAGCCGCCAAGGACAAATACCACTTCACCTTCTGCTAACGCAAGTGCAGCTCCTGCTTTGTTGGTGCAGGTAAGGCCCAGAGCAGGGACTGGGTGGGGAGCATGGCGAGGGCTTTCTCTTGAATGTGCTAATGTAGCACCTGGGACCTTCTCTTGTGCAGTTTGCCACAGCTGTGGTGTAATCGCTCACTGTACATGTTCTTGCTGTTGTGCCTTGACATTGTGCCTGGGATAGTCTGGAGGAGCATAGTGTGGTTATTCTGGTATGTAAACCTTGCTCTTCTCCCTTGGTCCCAAAGGAGCCACGCAAGCTAAGTTATGCTGAAGTTTGCCAGAAGCCCCCAAAGGAGCCTCCTCCAGTTCCTGTTCAGCCTCTTAGGGAACATCGCACTAACATAGTTCCCCCTGCCAAAAATGAAGAAAATGGCACACCTGAGAAGGCTTCGGAGAAGGCTCATGACAAGGTTGAAGGTCGAATGAAGGATTATTCTGGGTTCCGAGGCAACGGGCCTCCCAGGGGAGCTGCTGGGAAAATCAGGGAACAGAGGCGCCAATTTGGACGCAGATCATCGCCTCAGGGAGCACCTCGACGTATTGGCAAGGAGCAGTATGTGCCACCCCGGTCACCAAAGTAACACTTGTCCAGCCAATTATTCTCTATTTAATTTGAGCTGTGGACTAATAAATAAGCAGCAAAGGAGACTGTGAGAAAGAAGTATTCATGAAGGGGAATACTGAACTGGAGCGTGGCTTGTGTGGAGAAGTTGTGGAGGGTCCCAAAATTCATCTCTAAAAGTGATTTCACAAATGCTGGAGGATTCCAATCAATATAAATATAGAGATTATAATTTTTGTATTTTTGTTTTTAATTTGCAGAGGGTTTCCTGCTTGAAATCAGTTTTGGGGTTGTGAAACTAGCATTTTGTCAAAGTGAAAGAGTATGAATTGACAAATTAACCTGTCCCTCAGTGTAGGAGGAAAAGGATAAGAGAATATTATTTTTGAAAAATGAGCATTTCTGTAAAATTAGAACTTTTTTTAACCTATTTAACATTTGGCTTGTCGGATGATGTGTCTGCCATTGATGGCCTTGCATTGCAGAGCACGTCTGCAGCTGAGGTGCTTGGTCGGTGTGAGTGGAATGAGTGCAGCCAGATACTGTTGTCATGACTTAGTCACTGATGATAAGAACTGAATGTACTACTGTAGTAAACTTTGTGTTTCCAGCTTGAAGTATAGTCTCTTGACCTTACTAATAATTCATTCAGCAAGCTTTTTAAACTATTAATTTTTACAGGATACTGGATTGTAGATCAGAGCATGTGGACAGCAAAAATTGTCTTCTAGACGCAATTGGAAGGAGGCAGAAGGGAGCACATCAGAATTTTTAATTTGCCCTTTTTCCTTGCTTCCTTTTGAGGGCAACTTCTTAGGTTTGGGTTTGTTTTTTTTTTTTTTTCTTGCTTGTTACTTTCTCTAATCTCTTTATTACAGACTTTTGTGCATTTATCTTGGTATGTTTTCCTGAGGCAGGCAGGCCCAGTATAGGATTGATGGGTAGCTACACAGTACTTGGTGTTAGCTTCACAAGTACAGAGCCTGGAATTCCAGTTGCAGATGTGGAATTCTGCCTTGCAGATGGGGTGTGTGCCCCACCAGGGTTAAACTGATGTCTCTTTGAATGGCTAGCAAATCAGAGACGTGACTGGGTTTTCTATATACTGACCTATCTTTGTGTTCTGGAGTAGGGTATTGGATGCTGTTTACTAGAAATTCAGGGTTTATATGTACTGGGAACTCATTGTTTACAGCTGATGTAGTAGCAACTGACTTTTTTTAACTGTTTAAAGTGGAACTAAAGGTAAGGAGTTAAACAAAACCCCTCATGTTCAGAGTAGCTACTTGAAAGGTAGCATCTTGCCTAGCTGTATGCTGACTAAAGTTGCAACGCTGTTGTGTAGTAAGTGGTTAAGTTTAAAGGTGATTACCATAATGACCGAAATAGGAAAATTCAGTGCATTAATCTGCCAAAATCAGCATGCCAGGGTTCAAAGTTCTGTATAAAGTGTTAGGGAAAAGTAGCTTCCAGCAGTAAGAATCACACTTTTTTTTCTTTTTTTAGTGAATAGGAAGTGTACAAATTTAAAGTCGTAAGTTGTGAACACTGGAAAACTCAATTGTGATATATACCGTAAACATCTTAGTAATATATGCTAGTGTTGCCATTAGAATGAATGTAAGTGGCAGTTAAAATAACTGTGAAAATTTTCATCTTCTGATTTCTTAGCCAGATAACCCTTGGCGACTTCTTACTCGGTAGGCATTCTCTATCAACTGCTTTGATAACACTCATATCTATTTTTATAAATATATATATGTAAAGCCAGAGTTGTCATTTCTCTAACTTATTATTCAGCTTGGCAATTGCTTTGATTTGATTCATAACACAATATAATGTATTTATGCAGTTAACTGTTCATTTCTACGCATGTTATATATATACATATATATATATAAAAAAAACCAAAATCATTATTCACTTTTAAACTACCTGTACTGGGTTTGGGAGGTTTTTTTTAATTTAGTAAAAAAAATCGTTGATCACATCTACAGTTTAGGGATGCTTACAGAACCCTTCTCCGTTTATTTCGGTAATGCTACATTTGTTGGAATGATAGAGAAGTTTAAATATTTAAAAGTGTTAAAGTTCTGAAATGCAATGAATGCAAAGTTAACTTTTAATCATTTTAAAGGCTATAAACAATTACTGCAGTCAAACTGGAAAAAACTAACCTGTATGATAGTCACAGATATTTAGGATAGATGTGCACTGTCATTGCAAAGTTGAATAATTGTTGGGATGCCAATAGCTGCTGTAAGCTGTTTGCTGTTCAGAGGAAGAGTTATTTGGGAAGAGGCTTGTGCAGGTGTTGATCTATGGTCTCTGAGGTGAAGGCAGAGTGCTAATTCTGATCCACGCAGGCATCTGCTTTCACTGCAGTGCATAGAATAACCTTGTAGTGCTGAAAGTATCTGAATTTTTAACAATTGTGAAATGTAACTTCTTCATTTATTAGATGTGGAAAAAAAATAACTGCAGTTCAATCTTTCTTGTAAGGTGATTGGAAAAACTTGACCGTGGAAAGGATGCTTTGTATGTCCTGGGTGTGCATTTTCCAGCAGCAGATTATGGCTCTTGTACAGTGTATGCAAATAAGTCTGTAAACCTGTTGGCTTTTTCCAGCATATTCAAACTTTTATCAGATTAGGGCACTGACAATTATTTATTTAATACCTGTGTGCAAAGATTTAACATTAGCATTTCCCTTCTTCCCCCTCCCCCACTGACATTTATAACTGTGCTTTTGGTTTTTTTTTCCTTTCTGTTCTTCTTTTTTTTGGGGGGGGGGGGAGATAATCAAGTAAATATAAAGGCTGTGAAAACCATAGTTTTGTGTGCAAGTTCTCCTGCAGTACTTGTATTGCATGGCAAACATCTAACTTAGTTAGACAGGCTAGCTGCTACATTCTCATCCCTGTAATGGACTCAGGCAAGCTATTGTGTCTTTAACCCACCAAGTTTGCCTGTTCTGACAGACTGGGGAAAACGGGGACAAAGCAATCGTTTGGGAGCCAGACTCACTGCTGGTACAGCTCATTGATTTCATTGGAGCTGTATCATTTTATCAGCAGAGGTGAAACTGTCCCTTGTTCAACAGCGATGTTCAGTGTGCACTTGAAGTGACAAATAACAGTTCTCCGTGGTTCCTTCTTGGTAGCTTACCACATGATGTAAAGACAAATTTTCCTACTCTGCTGATATTAAATACCAGAAGGTGCAAATCACATGTAACTTTCAGTTTTATGAACTGTGACTTGTTTTCAGAATTGTTGACTTTTGTTAGCTACAGAAGTATACTTCCCCAGTTAAGTTCTTTTCCAAATTATTGTGCATGGAAAAGATTGGGCCACTCTCTTGTACTTCTGCTGGGGAGTGAAAAGAGAAGTAATTATTTGCATGTGATAGTAAAATTAAAAGTGCAAAAAGTTTTTTCTTTTGATTTCTAAAATTAAGTTAGTTTTATAGTATCTTACATTCCTGCTATCTTTTTTTTTTTTTTTTTTAAAAGTTAGCCTGGCACAGTATGATGGTGCAGTTTTAGCAGTAGGTTTAAAAAAAAAAAAAAAAAAAGAAAAAAAAAAAAAAAAACCCACTTTATTAACCAGAAGAGAAAGATGATACTGTGGCAGATCAGTAGCAAATAAGTGACTTAATCAATGCTTTACTGTAGTTAAATAGCTATGGCCTTACTACTTTGTCAATATCAGCTTAATTGTCTTGAAAATGTCCGCTATTTTTACTGTTACCCAAGTGAATGTTCACCTGGGGTAAAATATCTGGTATGTACAGATGATATTTTAAATTTGTAAAATGCGCCATTGTATTACAGACGATGCAACAGAAATGCACTTCGGGGGGAAATTGCTTCTGATAAGTTTTTTTGTAAATCCTTGATTACTACAGATATGCAATAGAATTTTTGTTTCTAATTTTGATATTTCCTTCTGAAACATAAGATTGTTGCCATTAATCGGAATGATTTATCATGCTCTTCTTTGTGTGTATATATTACATATAGTCTGAGCTTCCTTTAGGATGGTACATAATTTTGGTTTGTTGTAGTATTTTAGTTGGCTCTTCTCTTAAGTGCCCTTAGCATAGGCACTTCAAGAGGTTAACTGAGTCTGGTTTTAATGTACAGTTGGGAGGACTTGAAATGGAGTTAAAGCAACTTATTTCTGAAAAATCCATCTGCAAACTAACCTGTAACAACTTTAAAATTTTATATTTAAGAACCAGAGGTTTATTTTTATGGAGCTTCAGTTATGGATACAGTTTCCAAAAATGCAACTTCAAATGTAAACAGACTGTGCATAAATGGGTTTTGTTCTAATTTTTATAGAATACAAAATATTCAGATAATATATTGAGCTCAAGTTACTACAGCCATCTTGTTCCTCCCGGATGAATCCAGCTTCCCCTTGGCATTTATGATCTCTCTTCAAAGTGGTAGGGCTTCAGTGAAAGGAGAAAAAAGCAACCTATCTGGCTTCTATACTTTGTCTGTTCTGGTATATTCCTGTTGTCAAAACTGTTCAAAACAAAATTTGTGTAAAGTAGGTTCATGCTTTAAATGTTAAAATGATAATACATGTATTTGTATTTGTTTTTGACATTGCCAAGGTGCTATGGGAAATTGAAATAACAGTTAGAAAAATAAAGCTGATTTAAAAGGAAACAAACAAAAAAACCCCCACCACAACCCCCCAAGCTCTTAATTGCATGCGTTGCTGTTGTGATGTTGAACTGGCTCTCTTCTTTTCCTCTAGATACCTCAAATTGTCCTTATCCAGGGTGCAAGCACTGTAGCAAATATTCATTGTTCTACCGTGACCCTGACCTTTGGGGTTTTGCCCCCGCTGTTGCCCACTCTAATGGATGGAGTTCACTAGAGCTGTGGGTGTCCAGGAAGGCAGTTAGACCCTAAATGCCAGTGATCCGAGATTCGGCGTAACCCTGCTCTCCTGGAGCTGTCACAGGCACCTGCCTCGGCCTTCTCTGAGAAGCTGAGTCTGAGGTAAATTTTCTTCTTAAACAGGGCAGACAGCGCTCGTGTGGGGTTTTTTTAATTTTTTTTTTTTTTTGTCAGACGTTTTCAGCTACATCTGAACCGGGCTTTAGGGGTGTCTGTGAGGGAATGCAGCCGTTCTTCGCCCCTGAAGGAGAGGGGCGGGCGCCCTGCCCTCCGCCGGAGGCACCTGAGGGGCTGCGGCTCGCGCTCAGGGGGAGCGCGGGAAGCGGCGGCGGCCTCCCCTGAGGGGAGGCGCGGGGGGCTCGTGTTCCCGCTGT